CAATTTGAAGATCATTCTTGACATGTCTTGAGGAATATGGGAGGGCAAATTTTGGGGTACAACAGAGCTGAATATAAATGAAGAAGTTCTTTTGATGAAAGAACCATTTGCTTTAACTCAAGTTCTGATGCTGACTCTGGTAATATAATTATTTAATCACATCTTCTAACGCTTAGCAAGTTTCTGTGTAAGCTATGTTTCAGAAGATATTTGAAAGCAAGTGCTGTTCAGAAGATATTTGAAAGCAAGTGCTGTTCAGAAGCTCTTTGAAAGCAAGTGTTGTTCAGAAGCTATTTGAAATCAAGTGCTGTTCAGAAGCTCTTTGAAAGTAAGTGTTGTTCAGAAGATATTTGAAAGCAAGCGCTGATCATAAGTACTTAGCAAGCAAAGCATTGTTTAGAAGATATGAAAGCATGTTCTGAATACAAGACGTGAAGCCAAGTTCTGAATGAATATAGAAGCTAACAAGTCTTATCAAAGCTTCAGGAGACATGTTCTTACATAGTGTCGTTTTCTCATTTAATGCAAAGACGGCTACATGCACTCAAGTGTCTACGCTAGTGCATTGGAAAATGGAATAGTGCAAGGAAACACACAAACATTTAATGCTCTCCATTTGAAGGCAACAACGGTCATGTTTCTTCATGCTATATATAGAAGAACATTAATTGCAATCCATCTACCGAACCACTGCTTAAATGAAATGCTGAAAGGCTGAACAATTGAAGTTCTGAATAGAACTGAACAAATTCAAAAAGAAGCAAAAGCTACGTGAAAGATTCTGGGCTCATAAATTCATTATTCATACACTTTGTGCTAAAATATTCTTAGTGAAAAATCACAGTTGTGATATAGCTTTCTTAGAAGTAAACTTTGTTTCACTATCTATAAAGATTTATATCTTGTAATTGTTCCTTGAGAGACCAAGGTTGGTCAGAATTCTCAAGTAGACTAGGACTAGTTTAAGTCTTAATGGTGTGAGTCACTTGTAAGGTTACTTGTGCATTGTTAGCCACAACAGTTGTTGTGTGATTGTAATCAGTTGATTATAGTGGATTAAGTCCTTGTTGAGAAAGGCGAAATCACCTTGGCGGGTGGACTGGAGTAGTTTGAGTTCAAACGAACCAGAATAAAAATAACCTTGTCTTTCCATTATTGTTGTGCCTTTAAGAAAAATAAAAAGAGAAACTTATTCAACCCCCCCCCCCCCCTCTTATAAGTGTTTTATCCACCTTCAAAAAATACACCCTCTTCATTTCCCTTTTTCTTAATATTGCTTTTTTTCTTTCAAGATTGAACCGTGTAACGTTATCGCTCTGGGTAATTTCAAGTGAACACATTTTCTAAAAAACAAAAGAAAATTATAATGAAAATTGAAGGAAAATATAGTTAATTAAAAAAAACTAATTTCCATTCACACATTTCTCATAAACCCTTCCATTTTCAATTTATGAACTCTCGCTTATTCTTTCTTCATTCATCATTCTTCAGCAATGTTTTTCTGTATCTCAAAAATCATTTCCCAAATCTCGCTTATCTCTTCTACGCGAACCTCTCAGCAACACTTCCACCACTTGTCCAATCAACGACATTCCTTCATTACTCCTTAACTTACCAACAAGGTTCATTTCTACACTTACTCATCAATTTTCATTTTCCCTATTTTTTCACGCCGTATGGTTTTGCTAGGGTTTAACGTTTTTGCTCATAACTTCACAACTAGATAGTTTCTATACTAATTCTTATAGTTTTTGTTTACACACAATTGAATTTGACATAATTGATTTTGATAGAACTAATTTTAACAGAAATGTGTTTAGCTTATTTGATTTATGTTTGGATACATTTATGTAAAAATGAGTTGAACAACAAATTTCAGTGTAGAAATCACGTTGAAATTTTGAAGGCAGAATCAACTCTATTGTAGAATATCCAAACACCTCAAAATCACTCAAGAATAAATTCTACACCTCTAGAATTTCTTTTGACTCTTTCAAAAGTCAAACCAAACATGCTATTAGTAAATGTGTTATGTTTTATGGATGTGTTAAGTTGAGGAAGATTTTATTTCAATTATGCTTTTGTTGCAGCTTGAACTTGCTAAGTTGCTAATGTTAATGATTGTTTTATTCATAATAAGACTTTTCTTCTAAACAAGTTGTTAAAGTGAGATCAAAGAAACAAGGTATGGACTCAATACATTGACAATGTGATTAAAGTGACCTTTATCAAAATGTAAGTGGTAACTTCTGTACACAAATGGAATGAAACTTGGATAATGCATCAAGCACTTGTGTAATGCACTTAGAGTTTGTATAAATAATCAAGTATGTGGAGATTTAGAAGTAACATAGGTTGAAAAGAAATATCTCATGGTTTGGCTTAGGTTTGACATGAATTTTGAACCAAAAATCTGCCTTGTAAAACCTCTCTGCCATGGCTACTTCATCTCTTCGAAACTCCTTGCTCAAGTATGATAAATTAATGCTCTTGTTACCATTGAAAATATGAGAGCATCCTATACAACTTTCATGTTTATCACTTGGCTTGAATCAACTTAAATTAATGAGAAAACTGGCCAACAAAATTGGAGTTTCAAGTTGAAAAACACTTAGAGAAATTTCTAAGTATTTGATCATTTTAACAACTTTGAGATGACTTCTTGATCAACTCATATATTTCAATTTTCATGATCTTTTTGGTTCATTCCTTCTACAATATTGAAGTATGTATTATTATCTTGAAGTACGTCCTTTAGGCATGAAAAAATATTGTTTGAGGAAGAAGTTACAAGCTTGAAAAGTCATGTACTTGAACACAATTTTTTTGACACTTAGTGAAATTTTCAACATCTTCAACTTTACCCTTTTTGTAAGTTACCTCCAATTTTGTGATTCCACTTGGTCAAATTCAGCTATTGACCACATTTTCATGATTTTTGATTCTTGAGGTCCATGTTTGACCAAAAAAGTCAAAATTAAAACTTTGACTTTTGCTGATAGTTGACTTTTTATCAATTGATCCACATAAATTTAACTATCATCAATTTGCATCTTCTTGAATCATTTGAGTTACACAATTAGGTCATAGGGATGCATTTGAACTCCTTGAATCATAATTCAAGTCATGATATCATACTCTGGGCCAAAAGTCAACAATTAATTGACTATGGTTAAAACCCTAATTGATGTATACAATGCTTTGAGTCTTGATGATTTTGATTTGATGTGATATACAAACTTGAATATTTGATGGAGGGAATCACTTGATCACCATGAATGAAAGTGAAGCTTGAATCTTGAGGACTAAGTCAACACCCTAATTGATCAACACGTGTACTTCCAATTTTTCTTGATTCAAAAACCCTGTCTTAAACAATAAGCAAGCACAATAATTTTTTTTTTTTTTGTATTTTGTTAGTGATGCAAAGATGAATGAAACGATCTCTTGATGTTATGCAATGCTGCAAAAGGAAGTGGGATCTTAGGTAAAAAATTAGGGTATGACATTGAGGATATTCTTAATCGTATTAAATCCTTTGGTTGTAATTGGTTTTTGATCTTCACTAAAAAAAGTTTAGATATTGATAAAGCCATGTGATTTGCCAATTCTTTGGTGTTGGTAGGGGTGTAGTTTTGTAAGGCTTTTTAGCCTTTGAAGTTAGTTCTCCTTTAATTTGTTTTTATATTGGGTTAGCATCCCTTATACTATTTAATACAAAGCCGCTTATAAAAAAAACAACCTCTTCATTTCCCTTTTTCTTAATATTGCCTTGGTTTATTTTTCAAGATTCAACCGTGTAATGTTATCGCTATGGGTAATATCAAGTTAGGGATGTCAATTTGCACTTGTTAGTGGAAATCCATGCGGAGATTCTCCGTTTGGGACTCCAAAGATGGGGAATTTTCTCCTGTAGGAACGAGGATAAGGAATATAGTTCTCCTGAAGGAACTTTGGGGATGGGGGTGACGAATATATCCCTACCCCATGGAGTCCCGCCCCGCAGTAGAATTCCATAATATCGTTAATTAATATATAATTTAACATTTCTATATAGCTTTATTTATCATTTCAAATAACTTATTTTATAAACAAATGTAAAATACATATGTAATGTTAGTAAATGAGAGATCTAAATGACTATTTAAACTTTTTTAAAGTTTGAAAATTTTGTTTTCATAAATCTCAAGATTAAATATTGTTAAAATAATATATTTATCGTAGATGATTACTTTACTAATTTCCTGTGGTTACTTTTTGAATTTTTCTATTACTTTAGTTAAAAATAATAAATAAATTTTTTTATTTATAGATATCTGCATAAATCGTGGGAATCCGTAGGGATCCGTTGAGACGGAGATGGGGGACAAAATCCCTCTATGACGAGGATCTGATACAAGAATGAGAAGTAAATTTAAAGGCGAGTATTGAGATGAGAATATATTCCCAGCTCCGTCCCACCTAGGGGTGGCAAACGGGCATGCCCGCCCCGCAAAAGCCCGCAAAAAAAACAGGACGAGGCAGACATAGTTGAGGACGAAGGCCTAAAACCTAGGTCCGTCACGCAAAAAGTGAGTGCGGGACGGAGAAAGCCCGCAGACACTGCACCTTTTAGACCTAAAAATACAAAATTTTATGCTAATAATCATGTCCCAAAAACCCACGAAGAAAACGGGGCGGGACAGGACGGTCACATTAGAGAATGAGAACCTAAATTCTTGACCCGTCTCACACTAAAGTGCGGATAAAACCGACGTACCCAACAAATCGAACCCGTTTTGTCACGCCTAATCCCACCCTATTGTCATCCCTAATATCAAGCGAACACATTTACATTTTCTAAAAAAAAATGAAAATTTCTCATAATGAAATGAAAATTTACGAACAATATAATCCATAAACAAAAACTAATTTCCCCCAGTCACATATTTCTCATAAACCCTTCCATTTTCAATTTACGAACTCTCGCTTATTCTTTCTTCATTCATCATTCTTCAGCAATGTTTTTCCGCATCTCAAGAATCATTTCCCGAATCTCGCTTATCTCTTCTCCGCGAACCTCTCAACACTTCCACGACTTCTCCAATCAACGCCATTCCTTCATTATTCCTCAACTTACCAATAAGGTCAATTTCTACACTTGCTCATCAATTTTCATTTTCCTTCTTCTTTTTCACGCCGCAGGGTTTTGCTAGGGTTTCACATTTTTGCTCACATTTTGACAATTAGATAGTTTCTATACTAATTCTTATAATTTTTGTTTACACACTATTGATTTTGATAGAATTGAGTTTGGTAGAATTAATTTTAACATAAATGAGTTTAGCATAATTGATTTATGTTTGAATACATTTATGTAAAAATGCGGTATGTAAATCACATTTAAACTCAGAAGCTACGAATTTTAGTTAAAGTAGAATCAATTTTGGAGGCAGAATCAATTACTTTAGAAAATCCAAACACCTCAAAATCACTCCAGAATCAATTCTAATCCTCTAGAATTGCTTATGGCTCTTCCAAAAGCCAAACCAAACATGTTATTAGTAAAGGTGTTATGTTTTCTGGATGTCTTGAGTGGAGGAAGATTTTATTTTAATTCTGCTTTTGTTGCAGCTTGAACTTGCTAAATTGCTAATGTTAAATGAGTGTTTTATTCAAAAGAAATCTATAGCCTGACACACATAAATAACTTCTGTATTTCCTAATGAACAACATTGTGGTTGAGCTCTAATTTTACTAAAATATAAGTCCTCACTTCTGATTTGTTTCCCAATCCCCATTTTCATGGGTTTATTTTGGGGTTGTGGGTAATGTTTATAACTTTTAGATGCAAAACTGGTTTTAGTTAGTGTCTTCTATATATATGAGGTTGTGATGCCATGGAGGTTATTTATATAGTTGTTGTTACTAATTACTATTGTTCTATAGTTTTGGACCAATTATCTTTAAATTGTTCTTCGAAAAAACTATGGATACATTCTAAAATTCTCATTTAGTTTAGCATACACTTTTATTGTTCCAGCTAATTCCAGTTCAAGTCAATTTCTTATGTCCATCTATAAATTCATCAGCTCCAAAATTTGGATTTTCTTCATCAACCTCAACTGAAACAAAAGGGAAAAATGGGAATGGTGTGCATAATGGTGATTCCTCAAATGACGACCATGCAAAAACAAGTGAAGATGCAAAGGAAAATGATCAGCCCGGACAAGCCAAGCATGCGGATCAAATAGAAGAATCGGGATCTATTTCAGATTCTCAATCTCGAACTGTCAAAAGAAGAAGGAGTGGTATTAAACGGACTGCATTTTCTGATTCAGATTCAGATTCAGAGAGTGAATCAAGTCTATCCAGGGATGATTTGATTATACGTGTAGCTGAGAAGGAAGAACTTTTAAAATTGAAGCAAAAAGAGATTGAAAAAATACAGGAAAAATTTCTGCGTACTTACGCAGAGATGGAGAATGTAATGGACAGGACTAGGCGTGAAGCAGAGAATTCAAAGAAATTTGCCATACAGGTTTAAGTTTGAGTTTTTTGTTCCAAATAAACTACTTTTAATCTTTTTTGCTGATGAGTTATTTGAATGTGCTATAGAATTTTGCAAAGAGTTTACTTGATGTTGCGGATAACCTGGGAAGAGCTTCATCAGTTGTAAAGGAAAGCTTTTCAAAAATTGATACATCGACTGACTCTACTGAAGCGATGAAACTCCTGAAGACACTTTTGGAAGGTGTTGAAATGACTGAGAAACAACTTTCAGAGGTAGAGTGTTCTATCTGTATAATTAAATAATAACCAATTTAGCATCTAGTCTTTATTTTATTTGTTTTGCGGTTGAGGTTTTCTTTCAGAATCTGCTTTTAGCTATTGCTGCTATGCTTCTCATTTATGGTTTTGCTTAGATTTATTGCGTGTTTGTGACGATAAGGTTTATCGGGGAGGGACTGGGAGAGGGTTCTGAAGCTCTGTTTCATGGTTCGTTAGGATCTGTGAGATTAGGGAATTATATTGGTTTCTTTTCCAAAGTAAGTTGCATTTTGAAATTTGAAACATCTTGGATATGATCTTCTTATTATGATTTTTTAACTATCTCCCATTTTTGTTTTGAAAACAAAATGGATTTTTTTGGTTCTGAGTTGCAGCAGAAAGATTGTAAATATGTTGAATGGCTTACCTTTGAAATTTGATTGGTTAGATGGATTCTGTGTGAAATTTGGGTAAAAACACCTTGGCATCTTTCTGTGCTGTCATATCAACAACATCTTTCATAGTTATGACCTTATCATGATATTATTTATCCCATTTTTCAAAATTCATCATCATATGCTTAAAAAAAATGAAAATTTGTGAACTATATATTGCTTCAGGCTCTTGTTTTGAAGGTACTGTTGTTACTTACAGGTACTTAAAAAATTTGGTGTAGAAAAATTTGACCCTACAAATGAGCCCTTTGATCCTCATAGGCATAACGCGGTCTTCCAAATCCCTGATGATTCCAAGCCCTCAGGCACTGTTGCGGCTGTGCTGAAGGTAATTTTAATTTACATAGTTGCTTACGGAAGGACTTTGATTTTTGGCTTGCCAAATTTAAAATTTGTTTCAGTCATTAAAACTGTAATGTGATATTTTGGTCTATGTTGCAAGAATATTCCAAAATTTATGGGGTGTATGAATGACTCATGTTCATATTAATACAATTTTTGTTTTCATACTTCTGCCTTTTCTTTTTCACTGTAGCTATACTTCTATAGTTTAGGAAATTCTTACGAATTCATTATCCATCACCTCCCTTTGAAAAGTCTTGCAATCTTGACCTCTCAAAACCACCACAAAGAATAGCATACTTTCATCCTCTTCAAATGAAACGTCTTACTGAAGTTTATTTTGTTTATGGCTTGATGCTCTTCAATTTGCAATGCGACAAGTACAAGTTGATCAGTGTCACCATTTGTGACAAGCTCTTGGTTTTATCATCTCAATGAATCATGCTGATACTTGCCATTTATGGTTGTCTCTAAAATATCCGTTGGATCAGAGGTTTTGCTTCATTGAATGTTGGAACAAAGTTAGCCTGATTCATGATTTTATTCCATAGGTTTATTTATGAGATTTAAAACATAAATAAATGTAATCCAACCTTCATGTTTGCAGGCAGGATATTTGCTTCATGACCGTGTTATTCGGCCAGCAGAAGTTGGTGTAACCCAAGCAAAAGAAGATAATAATCCAGAAGAATAATGGAAAAAATAGTAAAGCTGAGGAGGACTCATATGATTAAGAGATTCCTAAGTGGTTCCTTATTGCATATTGTATATCATGTGAGGTTTCCTTCAAATTGCATCGAAGCATTATGATCTTTCTTCCTTGGCACCAGCTACCAGTTCTATTTTCCATGCCTTTTACCAGCATGCAACAAATTATTCTTTTTACTAATCTTCTGTCTAGAGCAACATGATACAAGAAGATGGGTTTAGTTCAATTCAACTTTCCTTGCATCTATCTTGTTGATACAAATTTTAGTAATTTTTTTGGTAGTGGAACCCTTGTATGAAACTAATGAGTTATACTTGCTTTTTAAATCATAATTGAGATACTAGGATCCCCATTCATTGTTAGGATGATAACAGATCGACACAGTTTATGAATGAACAGAGGCAAATTCTCCCAAAGACCAATTATCCTTGTCAAAGATGCGGGGAATAACGTAAGTTTGAAATTCTGTGGGATTTATCAATTCATCATTGACCATAATGGTATGTAATTTCGTTTCACCCTTGATTGTAAACTCAGTTCCCATTTCTGCCATTAAATGAATTCATTCATATTGGTGAAATAGCTACGGTTTTCTTGTGAAAAACTTGCACAGATTATATTCAAATGAAATAATTGAATTCCTAAAGTAGGTCTCCTAAAATTTAAATTGTTAAGTGAAAGATACATAAATAGCAGGAGTTTTGAAGGGTGCATAAACTTATATTGTGTTGAAATTGAACTTTTCATTTTAAGGTTTGATTTTTATATATCATAGTGAATTATTAAAGTGTGACGTGGCATGTTCAAGTGATCTGAAATGAAAAGGTTTATGAAAAAGACATGTTGAAGTGTCATGAAAAAACATTATTCATATCGGAAATTTCTTTCAGGCTTAATCCAATATTTCATTTTTAAAGTATTTTCGGATATATATATTTGAAATATCTCAATTTTAATTTTTTAGAGGTGTTTTTGGATAAATATTTTATTTTAAAGAGTTTTCGGATATACATATCTTAAGTATTCCAACAATTAGAATCAAGATGTATCAATTCTACTATTAAAAATATCAATTATATTAATTATATTACTTTATCAATTATTTACATAAATTTTATAAATTTTTAGTGTGTTAGAAATGAAAAAAAATTATTTATTTACATAAAATTTTTAATTAAACATAATAATTAATTATCTATTTTATAATAAAAATTAAAAAGTGTTATTTAATTAAATTTAACTTTTAAAGTTATAATTAAAAAACATTTTTTATATTTTTATAAAAAAATATTCATAATTTTAAATAAAAATTAAAAGAAAATTACATTTCACCCTTATAATTAAAAATTTAATTATTGCATTCATTGTTTAATTTCATATCATAAATTTACTTTAATATTTAATTTTTAATTATAAATTTAAGTTATTCTTTATTAATAATAATTCAATTTAGTTATATTATAACTATATTATAAATAAATATATTTTCAAAATAAAATCAAAAGAAATTTATGATAACAAATGATTTCGGTTATGCATATCTGAAATCTCTTTAAAAATGAAATATATAGGTTCGTATATAGGTTCGTTCGAATATGTATATCTAAAATAATCAAATATCTCAAATTCACAATATGCATATCTGAAAGATATTTTTGAATTTTTAGAAGTTAAACTCACCAATCCTAAATATAAAGAGAAATTCACATTCATGATTAGCAATGAGTTTGTAAACAAAGTACGTGGTCAACTTTAAAATTAAATTTCTCATTAGGACCAATAAAAGAATACATAACACAAACTTACACACGATTAACTTTGTATTCATATTATTGGACGCATTGGAGAGAGAGAGTGTATGCACTGTCTAGGATTTAAGGCAATTTCTTATTTTACTCTTACATTCTCTATACGTGGTCAACTTTAAAATTAAATTTCTCATTAGGACCAATAAAAGAATACATAACACAAACTTACACATGATTAACTTTGTATTCACATTATTGGACGCATTGGAGGGAGAGAGTGTATGCACTGTCTAGGATTTAAGGAAATTTCTTATTCTACTCTTACATTCTCTAAAGTTCTTTGTGAAATTTTCAAAGTGTTCTCTATTTTTGGAGATGTATATTTGGACATTATTAAAAATCATTTTTTTATAATAAAATTCAGAGACGCACAACCAAAGTTATTTTTAAGGGTGTATTCGAAGATGCATTTTCGAATAAACCTTTATTTTAATTCAAAAAACTAATTTGAAGATGCACCTTTACTTTAATTACTCGTGCCAGATCCTCCCTCTTCTCCCATTTTTAGAAAAATAACTTTCTCTCTACCAATTCTACCCATTTCAAATTTCCATTCAAGATCAAGTTTTGAAGCTACATTTACTTGTTTCTTACCATTCCTAACTCCTTCTACCTGTTGCATTCAACATCATAGCACTTTAATCCCTCACCAACACAATTTTGAGTAAGTTTCTCATTTAACTTATTTTGATTTTTGATTAATGTATTAGCTCAGTAATGTTAATTTTAATGCATTAGATAGCTCAAATAGGTTACTGTTCAAGTTTGGAGATTCTATTTATATGATTTGGATGTGTTTGGATGCTAGGGCAGTTTCAGAAGCACTTTTACCATTAAAGTAGAACAAGGTTTTTTTTCCTTCCAGATATGCATGTCTGAACTAGAGCATGGTGTTGGAAGATGCATATCCGAACTTGTTTCTTCCTCATAATTTGTTATGTTTTTTTCATGATACATCTAGAAATCAAGAAAGAATGCAACTCGGGCGACTCACCCTAATTGCCTTTGCTTGTCGCGAGAGGGTTAGTCAGCACGAGCAGGCTAGAGTCATCCTGCTCCTCTGCCTCATGATAAGGAGGCGCCAGTCTTTAGGAGTTGACTTTCATAGGGTCGAAATCTAACAGTCGTGCGACCCATGATGAGGATGTTCCAATTGCACCCTATATCCCAGTTTCTGAGGATGCCTCCCTTGTAGACCCGTTTCCAGGAGGACCCACATACACGTCTTTACTCATATACTTTGGGGAGCATGTGGCTCCACATGTATGGAAAGGAAAGGTATATTTTTGAGCTTCCTCTATTTTTTATTTTTTATTCAAATTTTACTACATGGATCATGTTACATGTTATTTACAACAGGAGCGTAACTTTCTCAAATTTGTGAATCATGTAAGAAAGATTCACAGTCTTTATCAGTCCGTAGAAGTCTGGTTCTAATATCTACTTCAAAACTCCGGGCTTGCAGGTATTTGTTCTTTCGGGTACACCAACATCATCCATGGCATGTAGTCTGCATTTGCTGAGAGATGGCATAGTGAAACTTCATCTTTCCACCTCCCTATTCGGGAGATGACTATTACACTAGATGATGTAGCATATCTCCTAACCTTCCCATCAGAAAAAGGTTGCTTGATTATTCTAAGATCAACAAAACTGAAGCAATTGATATGATGGTGAATTATTTAGGAGCTGAATATGATGAAGCCTTTGAGCAGTGTAGAAGCACCAAAGATGCACATGTCAAGTTTGCTTGGTTGGTGGAATTGTATGAAAAAAATTGGACACGTCCGAACACCCAAACGCCGACGATTTCTGGGTTACTTATCATAGGGAGTGTGCCATGACGTGCTTCTTCCTATTCTTAGTTGGCACGTCCATATTTGTTGACAAGAGTGTAAACCACGTGGATGTGGCCTACCTCAAATATTTCATCGATTTGGAGTCTATTCACGAGTAGAATTGGAGGGAAACATGCTTGGTTTACCTGTACTCCAACCTGAACGAAGGTTGCAAATGGACGACAAAGCAGATGACAGACTCATGCACCCTACTTACGGTAATTTCCAAATCCCACTATTAAGTTACAAACTAATTTTTTCACACTTTTCACACTTGTTACTAATACTTTATTTCTTATTACTTTCAGGGATGAATCCTTGTTCACTATGACCGCATCCACGAGTTTAAACGTGACCTATTTTATACTCATGATTGGCCATATGCTTGTCGATTTATCCCTAACGAAGGAAATGATTATATCTTACCGTACCGTGTGTATATTGACCAGATTCAACATGAAGACGTAAAATGGAGGTCATACGGTACTCATCGAGTCAGAGTTCCATTTGACCCCATTTCCTTATACTCTGGATGGTTGACATATGTGACCAACATCATGTGCAGGTATCTGCTCGAGCGGTGAATGCAATAGTTTAGGTACGTGCAAATCATTTTGAGAGAGCCCCTCCAGACTGTTCCTATCACTATTGTCTGCAAAGAGCTGGATGACATTCTCGCGGATTTCGAGAGTCATCTGGTATCGATGGAGTATCGAACTCATTAGACCACATCTCAATGGAGTTATGTTGATGGTTACATGACATGGTTCTATAACGTGTCACACCCTTACATGACACACGACGCTCCTGGACGTCCACCTAGGCTTGCTCATGAGGAGATCCTGGAGAATGAGCAGGTCAGTTACGACCATGTCGTTGATGTGTTATCACACTGTTAGACCATTATGCGGCTTACATGTGTGGGCATCGAGTCCGAAGCGTTTACGAGAGGTGAAGATGAAGCGGTCGTCCTAGCACGGTTCATTCTTTCTGAGGCACAAAGTGTCGTGGCTTACCGTAGGCAGAGGAGGAACCAAGGTGTTAGGATTAGACATACACAGTAGAATATGCATTTGATTGTATTTTGTTTATTTTTCATCAGCTTGGAGAATAATTGTTGTAGTATTATATTCGATTTTATTAAAGCATTACATGGTTCTATAACAGTCGTTTTTTATTAATAGTTGAAACAAATAACGACAATTTTAATCAAATTAAAATTACTTTGGATTGAAAATACCATAATCTTAGAAAAATGATTTTAGAAAAATCACACAGACAATAATTCAAAGATGCATCTCTGAATTATCTCCACACATGATTCGAATATGCATCTCCG